ATATATATATATATATATATATATATATATAAGTTATTACACTACTGACTGTTTGAAGAGCAGTGGTCGTCGCGTCGCGCCGCGTCCTGTTAGATATGGACTCATAGCAACGTACACAACACTTGTAACATCATTGTTGGTTTACATGAAATTCGAACACGTGCCGTGCGATGACATAATATTATTAGAAAAAATGGTTTTGATATATATTAGAACCAATCATAGGATTTTGATAAGATTCATTGCAGATGTACATATACTACTAGATGAAATGTATATTATTTTGGGTCACGGTAGAATTTAATTTGCATAATAATTAGACATTTCTATATGTCCCTCATCTCTGTACGTGCACGCCGGATTTCATGATACCATACATTTATTTTATATACCGGTAAAACATTATTATATATAAATTTTAAATGGCATTTGAAAACGAATTGACCAATCATAAGCCTCAGTGGATGAACACCGCATGTATAGAACTCCACTGTGGTCAGATAACCTTTAATCTTTCCTTTGATACTGGCTTGCTTTTGCAATTTAACATTCTGTGTCCAGAGATAATGGCTTAGATTTATTTCAAGAAACACATTACTGTAATTTCAAGCGTTTTAGACAAATTATATAGGATCTATCTATTAACATTGGCAGTGGTAAATCGGCCAAAGATTCACGAGCCCCCCCCCTCCCTCAAACTCGTGTTTAATTGGCGTCGCAGTATGAAATGGTTTCTACGGTCAACAACGCATCTTTGGGTTTGAAAGAAGCATGAGAATGTTTCAGGATAAATGTTTTATAAATAGATATAAATGTCCATAAAAACAAAATCACGCCTTCGTGAAACTCGATGTATCTCAAGAGCAATTTTTTTGGTTTGGAGAATATTGATCAGATATATTACAGTGTTATAAGTGAGTGCCATAAAAGAACTTATTCATTTCTATATTCAACATTTTTGTATTTTCTTTTACAAAATATCTCACCGGTAGATCATTAGTGTATGTAATCGTGCTTGTGTGTGTGTGGCAAGGGATATAAAGGATCTCCTGTATTACTTCTCCCTTTGTTATGATTTCAGAAAACCATTTGTACACAACGAAGGCTGACATCATAACCTTTAATATGTATAGGAGTTGCCCGCATGACATTTCACTGATCGTGAATCCTATCAATAATTTATGCACGTTTCACCAAAGAATGGGCGGAAATCAAGGCCGATTTTCTCTACAATTACGTGCCGTATTTACTATATTTAGAAGCGCATCTTCAATAGAAGTACGTGTTAGCGGAAAACGTGACAGTTTGGGTTTATTAGCAGCGGTTGAAAAGTAATGAAAATAAAATGATATAAACCATATCCCCAATATCGTTACACCAAAAATGGTAATATAAACACGTGCAATTCAAATATACTAATGCGGTAAAAGGATTGAGTGGTTTCCTGTACAAAGGAAACTACTGTAAAACATGTCTTTTTAGTTAGCATGTTATTTTAGCTAATTTAGCTAATCTGTAATTTCGCTAATTCAAGATGTCGCTAACTTAGAATAAAGTACTAGTATATTCTCACAATGAGATTGTTGGCACTATGGCTAAATTAAGATTCAGTTAATTCATGCATGGAGTCAAATTCGCTAAAATTGCATGTTTTACAGTATTAGTCTGGATTTTCCATGTCAAAGTGACCACTAGAAAGGGGTGTTACATGGGGAATCATACATGTTCGTTTCAGAAGAAACAAGCAAACGCATAGACTGACAGCAGTCTGTTTCAAGTGAATTAAAAAAATATATATTTCGCGAAATACCCCACTCGCTGCGAAATCACCACTTAATGGAGAACATTTTTTTAATTGAAAACTACAACTATGTTTATAAAATAATCGTTCCGTCTGGAGCCACTCTAGCAAATTCATTTTTCTCACCAAACGCTTTAAAAGACAAACGTTCTATCAAGATTTAATCCGGATATCGTTGTTTTTTTCTCATTGAGAGATAAGCCTCCCCATAATTTGCGTAAAAGTTGGTCATAAATCACACGATAACGTTCATTAGTGTTGTGTGTACAATCACATCGTTATAGTTCCATGACTGAATGTGCCGCTGATTCTGGACTCAACCACGCCACCAACGGCAGTAGTCTTTAAAGGTTTGAAGAAAGAGTTTCATGCTAACACGAAAAATGCCTTTTCCCACGTTTACAGACTATAAAGATAACCCGCATTCAGATATAATTAAAACATCCAATATCAATGTTACTAGTATCTCTACCATCAAATCTATAAAGAATTAGCTGAAATACTTTTGTTAGTTACTGTCCACAATGCCTCCTGGTATGATGGCCCTGGGCATGAACTTGAAGGGCAACAACGAAGATTCTCTAATTCTGTTACGGGCTGTTTTCTGCACACTACCTCAAGTCAGTTTAATACTCTCCCTCTTTCACATTCCTACGCCAGGTATACCTGTTCTACTTTTGCCATTAGGTGTATAGTGCAGGACTATCTTTTTTATGCTTATATTCACTTATACATGTATTACCACAGATTTATGCCATTCGGTAGACTGGCACAGTCTGGGCGATTTATCCCTTTTTAAAGTTTAAATTAAAGGGCGGTAGTCGTCGCGCCACACATGCGCGAGATATATGGGTCTCATATAAACAAAGATAGCTACTTTGACTGTTGCGCAGATCAACGTGTACAAACTAAACTTGAATTAGATATTTTTAGGTAATTGGAAGGTATCGAAAGAGTCACCAACGGTAATTAGGCAAGTCGCGACCAGGTCAAACCTCATACTTGTGATTTCCATTAGAAGAGCGCATTGGATTTATCAACACAAATATCGCACATGCGCAGCGCGACGACTGTCGCCTATTAAATAAAAATATCGCGAAATCCCCTGTAACCATGAAATCATCTAATACCTTTCTTGTATCCGTTCAGTGATGCCACTGCACGTCATGAACAACTAATAGCAATACAATAGCTGCAAATAAAACCAGTCTCTGGTGGTTTCGCAAAACTATTCCCCCCAAGCTTTCATAATTTAACTAAAAAAAAAATCACCACAGCTGGGCCGAGCCATTGGGTTACACACGACGTGATGCTATGTCACTCATTAAATAGACTAAACATTAGATAATGATGCTAATGTGTATCCCAATACTGATATAAATCTCCCGAAATAGATTTAATTTGATAATATTTTTCCAATACATTCAATCAGGAAACCATCTTCCTCCATTCCACATTACATGTATGTATGCATGCGAGTAACATCCGCAAAAATTCAAGTATCAGATAGTATTAAAGATAAATGCTCAGTTCCTTCATGTATGAATTAGTGCTAGACAGTGTCTCATCGTGTGAGTAGAAATACTAGTAAAACGTAGTTTCAAAAAAATTTATTAAAAACAAACAAAAATACCATACCCAACACTGAGGGCGCTACACATAGGAAGACCACGACACGTAAAATCATACGAAAATGCAAAATTTTGAGAAACTCGTATCAATTATGTGTCAATCTCTCATCTCAATGAAACGGTATGGTGAAAGTCCTTAATTTCAACATTAGCTCCCGACTCAAAACCGGGGTGATCGAAAACTAGCATTGAAACACTGAATAGCTCTAAATTGAAACACTTGAGGGCGCTGCTCACTAGCGGAAACTCACTTCACACGCATTTACAAAAAACTCACTGTATATTCTGGGACACAATGAAATAATAAAAATGGGTCCGGACAGAAAGAACATGTGTTAATAAATTTGTTCCATGCTTTTCAAAAGGTGGAAAAATACATTTATGTACAGGGTAAAACGGTGTACACTTGTATTTCCATACAGCATGTATGGCCATGTATTTAAAAATGACTACAAGCTGGTATAGGCGATCCGCTCCGCTAAAAAAACAAACATGTTTTCGGTTGTTGCCATGGTAGGACGAACGTGAAGCTAACGTCGATATATGACGAAAACTTGGCCCTGTATACGAAGTTCACAAAAAACATTCAGTCTTTAGAAGTCATTTTACTTTATTACTAGGACCATGTTGGGACGTATTCTGCTGTTATATTTTCTAGATTGAACGCAGCATTAACAGTTCATTCAAAGTTACAAACACTGATTGGTAGATCCAGCTCCTTGGCACATCCAATCAAATCACTCAATTTAACTAAAATCAAATACAGCTTTTGTCACACAGGTTTGTAGGGATGGCCAGCTTCACCAAAATCATACCAATCATACGATGATCTCTACAGCATAGATTTAAAGATATTACACAAACATTTGTCAACATTTTTATTTCCAATAAATGAAAAGTTTGGCATCAGTGAAATAAAATCTTAATACCAAAATCTCACATGAAGACACATTTCAATATTTGCAAAAAAAGTTAACATTTGATTGATGTACAAAAACTGTCTACAATGTACAAACACATTAAAGCCTACAACAACAGCGTAGTAATAAAGGCAATAAACGAAAGAAGCACAATGTGTGGAAACTAAAATATGTGCAAGACGTAATGCACTGTATGTCTCAATACCCCGTCTATATTTGACACATGACCAAAAACTGACTATCATTTCAAAAAATATACAACAGCTGATGAACAAATCTGCAACTTCCAACAGAAATGTAAGACTAACAAAGTATATTTTGTTTGTTTGTTTAAACTTGTCAAAGGAAGAGGGGTGGGTTGAACCAGAGGATGTAATCCATTCCTACAGCTATCGAGTTGAGTTTTTATAAATTTTCCTTTGCTGGGAATTTCAAAAACATCAAAGTTGTAAACTATTTATTAATATTCAATAACAATATTAAATTCAAATGAGTTATGACTGGCTGCAGGATGTCAACAATGATCAAAACTTAAAATGATATTACATGTGCCTTCTAACGACGTTTTAACACAGACTGCTACCTGATTTCAAGCTAGCGGGATACTTTGACGATACACTGTGGAAATAAGATTAAATCTGTATAGCTTCAAGCATGCAAAACATTTATTTACGGGGCTCAATGACCAAGACATTGACAACATTGCCTTGATAGCAAAGAAGTATACAATACAGAAAATACAGATATTCCAGCACTATAACTATTCCTTTCCTATCAAATCTGGCTTTGAAACTGGACGCCTTTACCAGTCAAATGTAACCACTGGATGTATGATGGAGACTGGAAGACTAGAGAAAACAAGAAACTGAAACTGAAATCAGAATAGGACATAAAATTAAATGATACAGTTACACTAAAGTAAGCAAATCTGTATAGGAAGATTATACATGTAAAATATCAATGTAATACGAAACAGACATTTTGTTTTCTGCCATGCTGGAATAGGTATTGCTTTGCAGATAGCAAATGTTGCACATAAAAGTAATGACAAAATTAACAGTAGATAAAATGAAAGCCCAAAATAATTGTACACAAATCTTAATAGTGAACACTCACTAATTGAGAATAATTACTGGCAGTGATTCATACAATCAAGCATTTACTTGCATGGAAAGTTACCAGAAAATGTAGTACAATCTCAAATATGGAAAAATAAAAATTAGTTACAAACTAAAAATGATTCCAGTGACTATTTCTTAGGGGGGTTGCAGCAACAAAAAAAGAGAATTTGATTTTATTATGAGACAGAATAGTACAGAACAGAATGTGACTGCTCCACTCTGACCCATCATTATCAGTCACTGACTGGCTCCATTGTTTGTCACCATAATGTTTGAACAAAATATATTTTTGAACCAATTAGACAATTTCCCATTAGCCACACAGCATTTTTGAAAAAAAAAAAACTGGGAAAATTATGGTCCTTTCTTGTCCATATTAACGGGTTGAATAATCATAAGGAAAAATATCCTGGGTTCTTCAAGCCATCACTATCCCTTCTCAAAGATGCAATAGTCTATCAATCCTTCAGCACTAAACTATAGTTACTAACAAATTCTACTATAAAAGATTAAGTGATTTTAACATTCGCCGCCCACTGAAAACAAGTCATGCAAAAATATACTACATACTAAGCATAAAAAACAAATAATGCTGCTTAAAAATAGAATAACCAAATTATAGGCTTCAGTTCTAGAAATGTTGCTAGACTAGCTTTAATTGGTCAATGCAGTAATGAATAAGGCATGTTGGAGACTAATCAACCAATCAAAGAAGCAGTTACATACTACCCATCTATTAGCAGTGTTTAAAGCACGTAAATAGAGATTTGCCAACAGACGGGTACAAGTTAGTTAGCTTCTTCATCAAATGTTTTTTTTTATAATAAGTCAAAATATTGCAAACTGAATGAAAGTTCTCTGGAGTAAATGAAAAATTCACATAGAATATGACAACTTGTGCTAAATATATTGCTGCAAATTTTGGTGACAAATGTCACATTCTTCTGTCATTTTTGCCTGCACCAAATGCTAGTAAGACAGCAGCCGATGCACTTGCATTTTGTAAAACTTGGCAGAATGAACTACGAAAAAGTCTAAATATGAAGAACAAATGGAAACTTCTTTGAATTCATGAGGGCAACGCCAACACTAATCCCAGAGGAAGACAGCCTCTCATAACAAGTGTGCGAGAACACTTTAAATCACTAAGCAGTGGCAACACATTTAATAGCCACATTCACCATTTATAATTGCCTTCAAGAAAGTTAGAGGTAGTAACAAAATACATGATACAGCATACTTTTAACTCAAGGCAAGAAATACACCAGACTTTGAGCTCAAGGTAAGTGATACCCGGTACATCATACTTTGAGCTCAAGGTAAAAAATATACCAGACTTTGAGCTCAAGGTAAGTAATACACTATACTTTGAGCTCAAGGGAAGAAATAAATCATACTTTGAGCTCAAGGTAAGTAATACACCATACTTTGAGCTCAAGGGAAGAAATAAATCATACTTTGAGCTCAAGGTAAGTAATACACCATACTTTGAGCTCAAGGTAAGTAATACACCATACTTGTAAGTAATACAAAGACTTGTTTAGTGGGTTGGGATATTGATGATATGGTAACGCCTATCGTGGTCACTCACAAAACTGAAACCCATCTACAATATCCATCATTGACAACAACGATGGGAAGCAGGAAATACTTGAAAGGACAGCTGTAGAATTACTGAAAACTAATATGACCACTAGAGATGCTGTGGTTTTGGACAAGATCTGACAGGGGTCTGGATTGACAATATATTGCCACACCCAGACAGTAGATATGTCACCTTTTTAATATCACGAATATGAATATCATAAATATATGATTACATAGCAAAGGCATAGCAGTTGAAGGGAATTCAAAAGATTGTGGTTGCTTCATGTATTATATTACAACATTAAATGAACAAAAACATGCCTTTGAAAGATCTGAATATACTTGTATAGGAAGAAGAAAAATCTTTAATCTATCATAGTGCCTTGAACCTAGAAGATAAGCCCTACATGTATGTAGGCGTGTCTCAAGAGTTAATGAATACTATCTTTGGAAAGGAATCTGACATGCCTACTAGTATTATAACGACACCATGCATGTAGCCGGCTAAGTGACAATGACTGGGCAATCAGTCAAATGTAACAACAGCAACAAACTACTTGTAGTATTACCATCCACAAAGACAATCAGAGAAAAATTTAAAATTAGACATTTAAAAATAACCTCAGTACATTACTTGAAAATTTTCAAAATAAAAATTATTTCAGGCAACAGGTCAACAACTACAATATTTCCAGTAAAAAATAACTTTTTGATGAGTTTTTCAAATTAGCTTATGTGATCCAATCGCTTTATAATCTCTTCATGAGGATCCCTTGAGGAATTCAGCCAGCGTGTCATCTTCAACGGCTTCATCAAATGCTTCATAATCCTACAAATCAACAGAACGTGATGAAATTATAGTTAATGAGGCAAGAGAAGGGATAAGTTGCTTGTTAATTATGCTATTTTTTTTTTGGGGGGGGGGGGGGTACATCACAGAACATTCTATGTTGACTGGATGTGCACCACTGTACCATGTATTTCTATGTGAGGGGTGCTGTGAAACGCGGATCGAGGAACTGGTGAAAACAGCACAAACTGAACATTGAGGTAATCTTAGGCAACCAAATGTACTGTGGAATACTTTAATTTCGCTGGAATTAATTTTCTCTGAAAAGGCTTTTTGGGCGTTCTTTATGGAATTTATTTTCACTGATTTTTGACGAGTTGAATGTGAAATATAGAAAAAAAAGTATATTCGCTGGATTTTATTTTCACGGAATCATCTCTTCAGCGAAAATAGCGAAAATAAATTCCAAGCGAAAATAAAGTATTCTACAGTATATGTTTCACATGTAGGGATATTCTTGTTACACTATTCAGGAGAGTCTCAACAACTAGCCCAAAGTACAGTTTTCTGAGAGTTAAGCTTTTGTTTTCATCGTTGATGGTTGCCAGGCGAGGAAAATGCCCGGATGCTACAATGTTCGCACCTGAGAAAACCATCGATTACTAAAATGATTTTGCAATTCAATGAGTTTCCACATTTGCCATTTCATTGAAACATTATTGTGTGATGTTATCAAAGTGATTGTCTTGCATGTACTATATTTGCTCTATTACCTGCTCACCTGTTAAAAGCTTCCACAAATACAACAAAATCAACAGGGAAAAGCAGCACTCATAAAACAAAAATTAAAAAAAAAATTGATCTATTAAATGTCCACATAAAACAAAAATTATCCCTAATGGTACAAAATCCGTAAAAACTATGGGGCTGAAACATTTGAAAAAAAAATATTATTTTGACCACAGATATACCTCTACACTAGTAATAGAGCAACTACTGAATACCAGTTAATAGAAATAGGACTTATGATCACCTGTAATTTATGTAAACACAAGCTACAAATAGAGCAAATACATGTTTGTTAGATGCACCTGATTTTTACAAAATGTACTAAATAAGGCAAATAAGAGAAGTCAAATTAAAAAAAAAAACATTTACTGGAGGAGCAAGTCCTATTTTATAAGGTCATAAAGAAGATTCCATTTATCTGTGATTCTTGAAATAAAAGATAGTGATTTCAAGGTTTGATAGAACCAGCTGAAGTAGGCCCATCCTTTAAACTTGCTGCAAGTATATCAAGTGAGAATAATGTACTTTTTCAGTCTTTCACTGCTGAGTGAGCCGAGAGTCGCAATTCCCAAACACAATTAAGAATTGCTTTCACAGTTATTCAGAATCTCCCACAAAATTTAAACATAATGTACCAGGAATGAAATAGAACTACTTCTTGTTATGGACAGGTTGAGGCACTATATAATGTAGCCACGGTTTCTTTTAAAATGGTACAATGCAACAGCTAGATAGGATGAGGTTTCTATTAGAAATCTACACAAATGAGAAATGAATGATTTTTTTGTTCTCAATTATCTACAAAAAATGGGTGCGACTTCTATTAGAGATGCGGCTTTTAATACAGATTTTACGGTACTATACAGAGTTTTTACTTCAACCCATCCATTGTTGGCATGAAACATGCAATTCCGTGCATGATGACATATTATATTTGGAAACAAAACTTGATTATTACTTAATGAGTCTAGCTATTGCATTTAAGACCTATGTCAATAACTTTCACTTTCTACATCCACCATGTATTCAACAAATACAGCATTCAATGACTTTGCATGTTAATTTCACTTAGAATTTATTTTTGCTATTTTCGCTGAACAGATGAATCAGTGAAAATAAAATCCAAAAATTCATTTTAAATGAAGAGCAAGTGAATTGTACAAACAGAGTAACATGATCTTCCATCTAAGAGTGGTAAATCGATTACCTTATTTGCTCTTTTTGTAACACATGCACTTACCGGTAGTAAATGACAGGGTTGTTTGTATGAGTTATTGTCAAAATATGATACTTTAAAGATTCAATATACAGCAAATGCAAACAAACTTGGGTTTATATGCACTTCTATTGGACCTGTTCAGAGCAAATATGGTAATTTGAATAGATCTTTTAATGATAATTAATTCAAGTTTCAGAATATATTTATTATCTTCATTATATTCCATTTAGTGAGCATTGTATGTACAATAATAATTCTGCTTGTCAAAATTCTGACTTGCTGGGAAGTCTACACTACCAATCAGACTGGTTCAGCCATAGCAATTTTAAAATCTCTTTATTAGAATCATGGTCCAATGCGAAATTACCTTCTGATGTTTATTCATCACTACCAATTATTCATGATGTGTGATGTTTTTAAACCCAGAAGTGGAACACTTCCAGAAGAGGAAAGTAAACATGTACTTGCACAAAGGATCAGATCATTTCAGGTCACACATGTGTTTAGTTGCATCATGGAGGTAGAAAAGAAGAAGGAGTGATGACGCTATTGTTTCCGCTGGTTTCATGATGCTTTGGATTTGTTTACTCACATACACAATGTAAATAATTTGCAAACACGCTGTACAATGTCACAGTTAATCGGCTTACATGTTTCGACTGTATTTGGAAGCTTCACGACATGCCCAAACAGATAACAATAATACAGAATGCAGTGAAAAACGTACGCTGAGTGTACTCAACGCCCGAAATATATTACAACAAAATGCGCGATTTTCGACATCTGCACAGTTCTGCACACCAATGAAAAATGACTCGTCAAAACATCTTGTTATAATCTTATCATGTATCTTTAAATTTCACTGCGGAAATTTGCGGGATTTTTTTAATCAATGTCCAAAGTTGGACGACCATTGCGATGAAAAATATCAGAAAAGAAGTAATCACACATCTTGGTGGCGTCCGTATGCAGAATTTCCGGTACCTACAAGTGTGAAATGACCTTTGTGATCCGATAAAGGTCATTGCGCATGCACAGTTCTTTTATTTATGGTTTGCGCATTCAATTTTATAGACGATGTTTAAACAGATTTTTTTTTTCAGTTCTACTCACGTTTTCTTGTGTAAATAAGCGGCTATCATCATGTAGATAAAACGACTTCTAAACAAAAACAATAAGTGGCTTAACCAGAGCGAAGACAAAGGATGTTTATAAGATTAACATGGGCTTAAATAGCGTCTTCACTCCTTCTCTTTTCTACCTCCATGGTTGCATAGAACAGGTCAGATCAAAGCTGTCTTTCTTATTGGTTGACAGCTCACAATTCATGCTATGCGTATTTATCACTTTAAAAACACAGTGACAACTATAACAGACCAGGCGTGGAAAATTTGTGTCAACACGAGAGATTCTACAAGCTTGTTATTCAAGAACTACCAATTAGCAAGAACGAACGTGATTCTTAGGACGAATGTAATTCACTCACAACTACATTTGTAAGTGAGATGATTTAATATCATCAGACGTTGGAGAAAAGAGGAAATCACCAAAAATCATTAAAATGGCGGGTTGAGTTGAAGCGGAGGAGTCACCACCTGCATATGTGACAGACAGCCATAGTGTGTTGTTGTTTACAAATAGATGTCTACCCATGAGCCTTTGTGTTTTCGCATACATTGCCTTTGCTTCTCTGCAAATCTCTGCATGCGCGCAGATGAAAACTCCGCTGCTTTAAATTTATTACAAAGCTGATATTTACAACAAGCGGTTACAGTACATCGTTGATATATGTTCAAACTAGGCATGTACCCCCTCACAGTTTGCACAGAGAAATCTTACTTTTACACATACATGTACATCACTACTTGCATTTATTGGTTGTCTGTATTTTCTGATGGGGATGGTGGTTCAAGGTTTGGTAGTTTTAAGAAAATGTACAGGTTCTTTGTTTCTTTCGCTTCGTCAAAATCTTCAAAATCCTGAAAGAGATTGAACAAGAGAACATGATATTGGTCTCAGCATGGTACAAGTACAAGGTTACTTGGTGACAGTCAAACACAATGGGTATTGTCAAGAGTGAAAACAATAGTGTTGACATGTTACAATAAACTTACACCAAAGTTTATTATTACCACCACACCTAGACATGAGGAGATATGGTGCGATGACATGTTATTTTTACCTTTATATATACACCATGCAATCCTATAGACTAGAATTCGTAGAAGCTATGACAATAATTGCCTTGATACCCCAACTGAATGTATTGATACCCCCAACTGAATGTATTGATACCCCCAACTGAATGTATTGATACCCCCAACTGAATGTATTGATACCCCCAACTGAATGTATTGATACCCCAACTGAATGTATTGATACCCCCAACTGAATGTATTGATACCCCAACTGAATGTATTGATACCCCCAACTGAATGTATTGATACCCCCAACTGAATGTATTGATACCCCCAACTGAATGTATCGGTACCCCCAACTGAATGTATCGATACCCCAACTGAATGTATTGATAACCCAACTGAATGTATTGATAACCCAACTGAATGTATTGATACCCCAACTGAATGTATTGATACCCCCAACTGAATGTATTGATACCCTTCAGTATTTTCTGAACAATTTCAATCAAGGCATTTTAAGAAATACTGGCCTTAAAATTTAGTAACCCATAAATATTGAAGTTCAAGCAATGCCAAAGTTTCAGTTTTTCACATTTTCCCTGGCATACCAAACTCAGAAAAAAATATATTTAAAAATGCAATATTACATGGTGGGGGTTAAACAATTTGATGTTGATGGTGTCAATAAATTACTTGTTGTAGTTCAATAAAAGTGACAAAATCTCAAATACAATTACATCCTAGTACAATGCAATTGACACTGAGCAAGGTGAAGCTTATTGGCAGCTATACAAATTTGACTTCACATGTGGATAGCATACACGCGGTTGTAAACGTGTTAATAAAAGGGAATACTATAACTGCTTGACCTCTGTTGTTCCATAGTTAACAAAATTATTGCAAAAATATGTATGTATGAAATAATATGAAATAAATTTGAACTGCTGTATGAGGGTAACTCTTGAATGGAATGATATCTTCAGGACGCCTGCTGGAAGCTTCCACAGATAGCCAAAATTAATGGGGAAACAAAAAGTTGCGTCAACTGATTATAGTTCTCACTTCACCAGTAAAAATTATTATTCAAAAATAAAATGGTAAAAATTAAGCATTAGAAAGCCTTATTGTCAATACAGGAATTTTCATTAAAAAAAATAATTTTAAGAGAATTTCTTCTTTTGAAGGATGCAAGTCAGTTGTGAAAACAGAACAGTCTAAGTCTCAAAACAATATGCAGAAGAAATAACACAAAGGACCAAAAAATGTTGCTTTTTGTCATTGTATTGATCTAGGAAACCTGCATTTCATAACTTTTGGGGGGGGGGACGCAGCAACTTACCAGTAAAGTGCACCACAAAACGAATATGATGCACTACAAAACGAATATGATGCAACACAAACTCACAAACATTTGATGTGATATAACATTTTTTAAGAGTTTTTTTTTTTAAATTCACTGGTGCATGATTTATACTGACATTGACCATCTTGAAAAAGATCTTGCTATATATACTTATAGAATGTGTAATTTGGTAGTATAATGAAATTCAAATTTTATATAGACAATTAAGGCCATACTTTTTTTATTCATTGTTTCTCGAGTTTTTATAAGAAGGAGGGCGAAAAATAAAATAAAATTAATTCTTTTTTCCATTAGATTTGTGTGATTCTCAAAGAATTGTAAGTGAGCTCATTGATCGGAGAAGAAATGAAATAAAATTTTATTCAATGTATAACCTTGTTTGAGACTTCGGTACTTTGATCATGATACTCCCACGAAAATGCAACTTGGGTTTGTTATGCGGGGGGCGAAAAAAAAAAAAAAAAATGAATATAACAAATAAGTTTTTTTTAAGCAATTTTTGCACTTACAAGTCGCCGGGCGGGAGAAATTACGCTGAAATAAAATTTAATTTTTATTTCATTTTCGGCTCCTGTTCATTAGGCGGGTTCGCGAAACAAGGGATAATAAAAGTCTGGCCTAAGAGTAAATAAAATATTTGTGCTCAAATCACCTAAAAAGTGTACAGTAACGACTTTCTGAGCAGTCAATAAGCTTATTTTGAGGTATTCCATTATGTCTCAGAACCCCTACAAAATCAGTCCTATTAGCAGGCACACTGACCACGTATGATAGAATGGGGAAATACTCTGCAATGTTTATTCTGTCCAGTTAGACAGTTAACTATAAAGCCATCACCCTATTTACCACTATTCCTTAGGGCAAGAAGCAAGCTATTTGTTCAGACGTAACGTATGAAGTGAGAAGAATTAATAAAGAAGTCACATGTAATAACCAAGTTAATAAGTGTGAATTGTATAAATTTTTGTAGCAAATGATGTAATCATCAAGTGTGAGTGATAAGATTGTTAAATTTTAACTAAAAAAATAGAAAATCAGTTGATTTCTGAGTTTCTGACACTGTACATTGGTAAATTAACATATCAGCAGCTGCGAAAAGCACAAGTCAATCTAATAAGTCGCCTACATTCAGTTCAACATAAGAGGTAATTTTTGATGGAGTCCACAAACAAAAAAACAACCTCAGATCAGAGAAACAAAATTTACTTGAAATGCTACTGTACAATTAGCCCTAGAACTACCATATTATTACATTAGCTAAAGGCACAATGTTTTTTTGCCGATTATCTAGCCATATAATACTACAGGACAGGTTATTAGCCAGGAATTTGCAACTGCCAGTCCAAAACAATTCAACTTCATGAAAATGTAGATGGTTTTGGATATATTTTGGTAAAATTATCAAAGAACAATAGGAAAAAACAGAAAAATGGGAAAAAGTTGCCAGTCCAAAATCAAAGTTGCCGGTCTGTTTGGTGGGTGGACTGGTGGCTGGCTAAAACCCTGCTACAAGGTAAGCCAAAATACATGTAAGCTTGCGGATCCAAATCATGTAATATGATGTTGATGTAATAGCATACACACAGCTGGCAATGAATATTTGTTCAAATAAAAAATTAATTTTCCGGCTGTCTGGGTGATACGCATTAGCAAATCAGTGATGTAAATAATTATTCTGATTGATGCTTACATAGCAGTATTCGTTCAATGAATGTATTGAAATGCACATGCATGCCAGATTTAACATTACTCTTTCATAGCTACATTTGCAGAATAATTTTAATTTTATGATAATTGATATTTTTATCACGATGCAATATCAAACGAAATTCTTTCCAAACGCTCCAAAATACTCTATTACATATACATGTAAATATGAACATTATTCACGAATAATTGTCCAGAAAATTATAATTCATATTATTGCTAATTTATGATGTATTAACAACTTTGGAAAACTGACAAACATGATCCTACAACCACAATAATCAGACTGTTTGCAGCACAACTTATACTTGCTACACTGAAATCAACTAGAAGACAGCAAAAGATGTAGTAAGCACATTTAGCTAATACTTACATCTCAATGTACAGTATTTCAGTGACTCAGAAACAAACTGATAAAAGTAAAATTGATTAATTCAACAAATTATGTTGTTAAAATCTTGGTACTTACACAGTATAGGCAGCTAATATTGTCAACATGCGCGGGGAGAGAGTCTTCCAAAAAACAGTGCGGCATGCACTCACACCTAAATATCATGCGTGGTAGAGGTCCTACATGTAGTTAGTATAACCTGTCTAGAAATTACGGCATTCATAGTAGTAGCATGTTTATGTTTCTCGTACATTTTAATATACATGTACTGTAAGGCTAATTTCACAAGAGACACATTTAAGCAAAGTTTTACAGCACTGTTACGTCGCTATGTTCTTGAGGCTGTCGCAGGAACTTTTGCAAAAATGTTGTCCTTGTGAAAACAAGCAACGAAAATGTTAGCTTCCAAAATGTTTACAGCAAACATTACACATTTACAGAGCTCGCAGTATTGGAAATACGATACAGGTATATTTTCTATAGCAAAGCGAGAAAGAGTTGTAACATTGCATGCACAGTAAAAACCCAAGAAATAGTTTTCGAAAAAAAAACATAAGATAATATTGTACATATAAGTACATTTGTTTGTTGAGTAATATGTAAAGTCTATACTGTATTATTATTACTTTGGCATTTCTAAATAAATACCTGTTAGTACGATGTTACTTTATTAGGGGGAGGGGTAATTTTTTCACAAGCAATGTACTATTATTAAATACAGTAGTGCTATTGTACAAAAAGTTGAGAATGAATGAGTAATTGCAAAGACAAATATATATATATATATATACACATGTATATGGCCACTGTGATTTGTATTTTATTAATATTTAAAGCAAGTTTGTGTTATTTAGAATCATAGAAATGGGTAAGCTATGGTACAGGTTATATAACCAGTACAATTCAAGTTACAATTTATAACTTAAACCCAATAAAAAAACACAACCCTATATAAAGTTGCAATTTGATTGAGTATAATTAAACCCCAATTAAATCGTAAACCTATTTAGATTTTTATTTTAGTTTGGTTTGATAGTGGTTGTCAAGTGATGGCATTTTATGTTGCCCTGTAATCACTAACACAGTGTAATTGGACGAAAAGATTATCATTAAGTCACTTTTGTTTTGCATAGCAATATACATTATTACAAGACCAAGAAATAAATTTGTTTCTAGTTATCTTATGGGTCGGTTAAATATGTGCACATCATAGCTTTTTTATTTGTATTGTAAGAATCTTGGGAAAAAAAAGAAAAATTATTTCCATAACAAAACAAAATCCAAGCACAAATTTAGTTGCAAGTTGGATAGAAAACAAAAATGAGTTGTGTGGTTCTGTCATTCTCAACAAATGCTTGGCGACAATATGCAAATTAAAGTCTAGTTGTATTGTCTAGTCAGTGCAATATAGTCTCAACATACACACAGTGCAGGCAGTTTGCAAGTACATTGTAACTAGTTTTATGTGCACTTTAAAATTGTCTTGGTTTCATACTTTGAATGTAAATTTTCAGTCTATTAGATCAATTCGAGAAATGGCAAAGTTAGACCCTTTAAATGCACTGAAAACATTTAATTAAACAGATAACATGCAGATCCCAAATATATAAATTGCACGATATACTGATGATTTTGCAATGTTATATCAGCTACTCAGATATTTATTTCAACATTCTCTCAGCAGATTAAACAGGAAACATTCAGACATTATCAACTTACCCCTAGGTACTCTGTATCACTGAATAGCTGGGGTGGTAACGGTTTACCAGTGTCTGGTTGTCTACTGTTTTGCCACATGAAAGTCTTCTGTTCTTCATCAACTGATATATCAATCCTGTCAAACTCTATATGTTTACCTTCTAGCACCATGAATACAGCCTGTTGCTGTTTCTTGATCTGAAAAGATTTACAATAGCAGAGAAGGAAATTGAATCTTTTCAACCTACGTTTCAATGTTATTAGTTTGCATACTAATTTAGCTATCAGACAAAGACAAATAATTTACGGAATTATACACTGGATATCACATACAGACATACTCTTGGGTTTTGGTATTTATGTACCCAGAGCTACTAGCAGTAAACAGTAGAAGCGTTTCTATAAACCTAGCATCATGGCAAACGTACATTTTATAAAGTTGAAGTTACAGACAGAGGCTTTGTTACTATCAAACAATAAATGTATATATCAATAATAAATTAATATCATTTCTTTATAGATTTAGTCATTCTTTCATTCACACCATTTATGCAAGACTATATTATACAGAGGCTAGTGAAGAGGTCTCACATTTCTTTGATAGAAATGCAGAGAAAAACATCTGAGTTTCAAGTAACAGGCTAACAAAATACTGGGCAGACAAAGTTTTTATTTTATTTTGTTCCCAATGTTATTTCCATCATAAAAATATGCATTTGATACAGACTTCAGATTAACCTTTTCACCACCAGTTCCATCTTTTCATCACAAATTCACAAAATAGTCTCATTTATAGTATGCACTTTCTTTCAGAAGATTAGTACAAAAATGGCCAATGACCAGTAAAAACTAAAAATGAACTCAAATTGTGTCTGTTGGCTCCAAAATTAGGGTTCATTTTCTGAAATATTGAAAAATATAAGAAAAAAGTACAGACAAATTTAGTCAAAAAAGTTTAGTGGTGAAAAAATTAAGAAAGGGTGACGACCATTAATTGATTTTCTGTTCACTGTGAAATCTTGTGTATTGTGTGAAAGGAACGGACCAAACTTCTGCAGCAAAAAAAATCATTTGATTTTTAATTTAAATTTCTTTTAATATCATATGGCTCAATGATGAAATGCCAATCTTTGAAGAAGGGAATATAGCACCAAGATATCCTTATTTCAGCCAAATTGACCATCATAAAATGTGTATAACACATTATTAACCATGGAAATACACAACAAAACTTTCCCATTCCACGTGATGCTCCAACGCCACTCTGTTTCTATGACCTTGTTCTGTATTTTCATTCGATTTCATGCATAACGTGGGACCTTGCAGTGAACAGAAAATATAGTCTATTGCAAGTCAGTCATAATGGTGGATTTATTAGTCCTATTCTGGTCAGTAAATGAAAAAAATTAATTTTTGTTGATGGATGGCTAATTTGCATAAAAAAAAAAGTTCACACGATAATATAGGTACATGTAGGGTTAGTGGAAACTCTTATTTTTTTCCACTGCTAGTCTAATTACTTTCATACTCAATTTAACATTGTATCTTTTATAAAAACCTTTCATTTAATTTCATTAATAACATTAGTTTTAAGGCAGTTTGATCTGAATTTGAATTTTGCTCTATTGTGGATGTTGCATATATACGCAATGCATTGTGGGTGAGAATAACCCATTGTATATAATATAATTTTTTTTTTAAATGTTATCACAATATTGGGATTCATATCATTAATTAATTAATTAATATACGACTTTTTCATCCCATGAGACTTTTTAAAGTATAGTTTTAATTTGCAAAAAATACAATTTGTATTCGGAAAATATGCTTGAACTGAAGATATATTGGAGTGCAAAAAAGCATACAATATGATTTATTGAGATAATCTGTAACAATGTTATTGTGAACACTATTCATTTCTGTTTGACCTCATGCATTCAGTGCATACACATTCAATGGCAATCAATACCATGTGTGCTGCTTCCCTACTACAATGTAAATCCTTCCATATTTTTTAAGCCACAGAATAGTTGAAATTTGTGAATATATTGTAGCAGAACATCAGTGAAAGCACCAATTTCTTGTTTTGTACTATAAATATTTAGCTGTTCTTTTGTAAAATTCTTAAATATCATGTTAAATTTAGAAAAAATTACCAGTCACAAACAAATTTCAAAAAAAAAATGCCATAAAGAAGAAACTATATTTCCTATAACTACATGTATATCTATTCCTAGTAATCATTTTGAAAGAAAAAAAAAAGTTTATTTTATGCAAATGAGCTCATGGTCATACCATACTGTGTTGTTTTATTGCATGTACTTCCTTCTACATGTATGTAGTATTAAAGTGGCTAGCGCTTGTACACTGTCTTAAGGAAATACATGCTGAAAAACTGCTAAGACTGCTATCAAAAACAAAACTGAATAATGGAAGATAACAGAGAGAATGCAATTGTTTTTAAACATGTATTTTGTAATAAACAACCCGCAGAAGCTCTTACACGGTTTACTACAATCGTAACACTTCCAGAGGCTGCATGCTGGATGTCGCAATGATTAGCAACTGCACTTTCAGGGAATAACACTTTCAAATTGGGCAATTAATTTAAAAAGGCAAATGGGTGTAGGGACTAATTGTATGGATAATCGCATGTTCATTTATCGTTTTACTGAATCTGTTTTGAATATGATTGTAGGTTGCAGTCATTTATGGATTGTTTGGGGTATTTTGGCTTGTTTGCCTAGTTTTTGAGGTTGTTTGGGTCATTTTCAATATATAAGAGGCCCAGTGAAATTTATAAACATTTATAAAGTGAAATGGAATGTCTTTGTTGCACTGAGGATAGTAATTGATGTTCAACAATTAAATCAGAAAATTCACCAAAATTATGTTTCCGAGAAGATAACTTTAGACAATTTTTATCGCTGTACATGAATGACAACAGTGGTTGTAGAAATGATCATCTCAGTGGTGTCAGGAATGGATTTCTGTTGCAAATTTGGCAGCACGGAGGTGGGTGGGTGGGGCATGTATCGCTTCAGTTCACATAAAGTTTAATCGTTTTAGATTTCATAAACAGCTTAGAGTTTTAAATAAATTCAAAAAAATCTCGAATTGAAATCAAATACAATTGTTGCAACTCATAATCATAAACGATTGTGAAATTCGCCGCGAGATTCAGCAAAGAAACCTAGGTGCATTTTGTTTGAAAACGGAAGTATAGTTGTATAATTAGTATTTTAGACACAACATAAAAAAACAGACGCGAAAAAAAAGCAAAACTGTGCAAATACAAGGTAATGCAAGTGAATAACATGTTCACCCTATATAAAATGTCAGAAATTGATAACAAATATTTGACCGGAGAAAAACAGAGACCTATTGTGGTCACGGTGTCAATGAACTGGTAAGAAACGGGTGTATATTTTCGACTTTTTCTTTGATTATTTGTAATTACAACACAGATTTAATTAAGCAATTATATTCTCATTTAGTGAGTACATATAATTTTTGATTGTTGTAATCGTGCCCAATAAATAGCTCAGTCTTTCAGCTGATTCTGATGTAAACAACTCGGACGAACGGCAGTGTTGTTAAGTTGACCCTTCGATGACTCACCTGAGGGGAGCTAGAAACACTGGAGTAATACACTTTAAGAACCATCTTGAATTACGAAATTCAACGCTAGATGAGTTGTCTGTTATACTATGATGCTCACTTAATCGTAACTGAGGAGATATTGAGCGCGATGGAATGGATATTTGGATGATTTCAACCAGGAAGTGCAAATAGAGAAGTACGGAATATCATACAAAATGGCAGACGCGACCCCGCCTATCAACCCCTGATGTGGCGACGTCATCAAAACAAAGCGACTGAAAATAAAAACAAAATAGCTGTATGGTTTATTTTATGTTCTCACCTAAATGTTTTCATTTTGACTTAAATTGCCAATTTCACGCTATATCTGACATCACATCGATCGAAAAAATACGCCCAACAGTGAGATGTTGAGAAACGAGTATTGCGTGAGCAGTGCACAAGAAGTGATGACGAGTTATTTTGTGTGCATCAGTGTTGTGTTCCCATAGCAAGTAAACAAAGGGAACTTGGCATGTGAGTTCCTAAGGATGTAGGGATTTCCTTGTGAACTATCACCACCTAAAACTCAAATCACAGTCTGTTTTATCACTTTATATTCACTTTATTTAGTTATGTTATATTTTCACAAGTACTGAAAACGTTGACGTCATTTTAGAGGGTAAGTATAACTAAAAAAACGCAGTTCGATTTTGTTTTTGTGGTACACTGACAATTTCAGTGACCTCCGATGAATACTATGTAGCGATAATCTTGTCTGTCGTTGTCGCTTCAATGACAGTGATGAACACTGTTCGCATTATATCTCATGCCAGTTTAGTATAGCGAGTTTAGTACAGTGCGTCTTGTATAGCGAGTTGGCATTTTAAACATTCCGATCGATAGTTTTCAGCGATGTTATTTTTTTGCTTTCAGCTGACATTACGTCTGGGCAGTCGCCATTTTTATAAGAGACATTTCCGGAGACTATTTTCGGACACACATCGACGACCAAAACACGTCACATAGACGAACGCACAGTAGATACCAAGAAGTAAACTGAAATAAAGGATTCGAGGGATGTCACGAGATTACGATGCTGACAGCTTTTTTGACACTCAGCCTGTGAACCTGACTGGTGCGTACGATCGTGGGGATACTCCACCTCGGAACCACACTCCACCGCGTCACACCCCAGATACCCTCACAGGCGTGAGTCCAGACTCATCGCCATCCCATACTTATACAAAAACTAACTCAGCAAGCATGGCACACAATAAACATAGAGACACCAAAAAACACAGTGACAGTTCTTATTCAAGGACTTATTCGGAGTACAGTGATAGGAGAAGATCCCGCTCTAAATCCTATGAAAGTTACACCGATGATGATTTTGAGGAATCTGATCACTCAGATTATGGTGATAGACGTACTCCACGTAGAGGTACAGGAGATAGACACAGAGGATCAAAAGGACGCAGCTTGCACCGTGCATACAGTGGGTCCAGTACACACAGTACTACTACTAGTGTCTATGGGAAGCCAAGCTACAGACCAAGAAATAAAGGTATGCATTAGAGATTTTATTTGATGGTCATACAGTGCTTTCAGAAAAGCTGTTTCCATATTTATTTTTATAAGTGCTTTATAACAAATTTATAAAAAATTTCATTCAAATTAAATTGAGACAACTGGATTGGATATAATATTTCATGAGTTGTTTCTGGATATTCAAATGATACACACCCCACGTATGCTCAAACAGTTTGAAATTTTAAATATTTACATGTATGTTTATAAATAGTTTATAACATACCCATCTTACAGTGAAAGGCATAAAACTGGGGATGTTATGAACATTTTATAAACATAAATTTTAATAAGTCAAAATGACTAGTAGAATTCAAATTGACCAATCAAGATATGTTATGATGACATCATTGCAAGTTGTAAATAATGTTAATGAGTTAGTTCATGGAACTATAAACCCCAGGAAGAACAACCACTTCGTTTCCTTTGAACTATGATAGTTGCCGCGATGTCGAATGTTTATTTTGACTGTTTATTTCGTCGCATTAAAAGTAAGCCGATTTACGCAAATGAACGTTTATCTCCGACTATCGGTCATTTTCGGAGTCAATCGGGCGACTTCGAGAGATCACGTGATCGAGTTGTTTCGGTTATAGCATAAAAAAACAATAGCGCCAAGACAAAAACACTGATAAATGAGCGACATTCAACGGGGAAAAAAAAAACACATTGCCACTTCTGGCGATCGAAGGGAAACACGGAATATCTCGACAACAAACAGCATACCAAACCCCATGTTTCGCAAACTTTCGCAACCTTATTTTTTCGAGGGTTGAAAAAAACAAGAAGTAATCTAAAAACGACATTGAAAATTATGAAAACTCGCTAAAACTCCGACCCGTTGCATGATTTCCGGTACACTGAAGGTCACCCTGCAGACCGACTTGTTTGCGCATGCGTAGTGAACGAAATATTTTACTGCGCAGATATATACATTTTTTTTCAAGTTTTCCGTTTCCAGCAAAGCGGTTGATATGGGCGTATCGGCGGCAACTAACATGGAGTATGACTAATGTTGTGGAAACAAAAGCGAAAGCACTGTAAGATAAACTAAGACAAAGGTTTTTTTAATCCTCTTAGTTTCGTTGTTCTTCCTGGGGTTTATAGTTCCATGGTTAGTTCAACATCATCTGGACAGCAAGCCTTTCATTTTGAATAAATGGACAATCATATACCGTGTTCACACACGTGCCGAAAAGCCTGTTTGAAGACCAGCTTTATAGTTAAACTGGTGTTGAAACATGTACATGTATGAATAAGATAAGTCAGCACCATGCTGATTTAGTTTAAGACGTCTTAAAATGGCAGGTCTCAATCTGTACCTCGTACTTACAGAAACGGTTTTAGCATGTGTGAACTATAACGCCGCCTTAAAAGCATGTCCTTAATGTCAGCCTCACTCTGGAGTTACATTCATTGCAAGTATTTCAAAGAAACATGGCGACCGATAACAACGCCGGTTCATTTCAGTCTTATGTATGAACACAGGACTAATTAAAACCACTGATAATGATTGTTTATCAAGTTAGTCAAGCCAGCTATGTGGTACACATATGGTATTTTTTGCTACATGTATGTCACTTAATAGCTTGTGTGCAGATTATGGGCATGAAGCTCGCAAGCCAATCGTTATTAAATGTTTGTGTTTGAATAAAAGCTGATGATCGATATTTACAAATTTTTAAACTGAGGGTGTTTTCTGCCTTTCAATATACCTGATTCCATTGTGTCTTGGCTATGTACATTTGTACTTTCACAGAAGTATACTGTTTAAATAGCTGTGGTCATCAGGCAGTGCATGGCTGAATTTTGTGCAACTAATAAGTATTTTACATATGTATTATTTCCTTTATAAAACAATGAATTTAAAACAAAAACAACATTTTGTTCACACACTTGCATGAACTTCTTAAAACGTAAAAATTCCTAGTGGCAAAAATAAAATGGTTTACAGTACGTTTCTAACAAGTGAAAATTTCCCCTTTCGCGATAGTCAATACACTATTGTAAATTCCTTGCTAGTTATTGTAAATTGATATATGCATGTCCAACAGTATGAACATGAAAAGATATAGGTTAAATTTCTTTCATTTAAATGAAAGAACATTCCTCATTATTCCTGAATTGGTAGATGATTGTAACCAGTGGAGCTGCAGTACATGTAATACACACATGTATACCGGTGTATGTATGCTAACACCTGTGGGTCTCCTTTCATCCATGCATGTGGTTACATGTGTATATGCAAATAAAGTGCTTGAACTTGGATAGAAATATGACAATACCAAAACCATCCAAATTATTGAACTCTTCTATAAAGAAAACTGTTCATCAAATATGTAACCTTGAGATGATTGTATGCTTAAAATTAATTCAAAACTCAACAATCCATGGTCATTATCAGTAGGTACACACACAAAGAAGTTCTATATCCTAAATAAGACAATTTCTACATGTATGACTTATCGTTACCCAGCGATGAAAAACCTCAACCAATAAACGTGTAATTGGACTGTTGCAAATAATTTGAGTGCCTGCGAGAGCTGCCTCCTAGCTGGAGTCAACTATGGAGTATGTGCATCGTTCATGCTTCTGTCGTCAAGTGTGAAATGTACCAACACTGAATCGCTACCTGCAAACAATATTGACACTGCTTTTGCAACTGATTGGTCAAAATCTGATATCAGCATGGCTTGTTCCTCGGTTACTTTATCTAAGAGACTAAGAATTCCCTAAATCAATAGGCGCTAAAGTTGTCAAGGAGTTTTCTTTTTAACCTCCAACGCTATACTTCTATGGTCAGCTTGTATTTTCAAATTTAAAGAATTACCCAAAAAACTATAATCAGATATTCAGTCTTGTTGTAAATAATATCTGAAAATGCCTGAAAATATATTAAATATACAGGTCTGTTCCAAAAAAAAAAGAAATGTTGAAAATCTGAACTTTAAACATCATGTAGTGCATAGCTTTTGACTGACAGTCATTTTTGTGGATACACTGTTCTGTTTTTTGTGTACCTTCACACCAAAGTACCTTGCTTCGATGTAAAAGAAAAGCAGATGAGAACATGTTACAATGGCATAAAGATGTTATAGGCAGCACTTGCCAACCATTCAAGAAGGGTGAATTCATAAACTAAATTTGAGTACCACATTAAAAACTGTCTCTCTATGGGTCAGTGCCATTGTGTGTATTATCCATCGCCCTCCATATTTACACCTCTTGTAAGAATTGCTGGTTTGAATGAAAGATTATAGGATCCTTATCTTTTTAATTACCGAGGGCAACTTACGTCGGCATAACTCTTTCTAGTGAGACTCGGTAAGGGTTAAAAAATCTGCAATCTGTAAGTTTGAAATTTGCTAAGAAAAACACTATATCACAATGGCTAAGGCTGAGAAAAAAATCTCTGTATCTCTGTTTCACGTTTCCGCATGCATCATTTTGAACTATGCGCCTCAAACTTTTTTTTATTCGTCTAAAGCATTCTAAAATGCGCTTGTACTAGCACTTGTCTCAAATTTCCCCCATTTTAGCTCAGTATTCGAAAAAAAAAAAAAAAAATTCACCATTTTAAAATTTCCATGAAACGAGAAACAGAATTTTTTTTTCCTGGCCTAAAACAGTTTTGTTTTTAGCGAATATGCGCTGTCAATACTGTAGTAATTAACCAGACAGTTTCTCGTTCAATCAACAATTTTCATTATATAACATTTTTTATTACAGCCACAAAACGAACGGGTCGGTCACAAAGCCATACTGGAGGTGCAAAAGTGTCACCACGAGAACCAGATGTTGTGGCAAAACGCATGCTTTCTGCTCGTCTCCATACAATAAATAGACTACGAAATGATTATGGGGATCTTGAACAGAAATATGATGAGCTTCTGAGAGAGAACAAACTCTTAAAAACACTTCAGAGACGACAAGACAAAGTAATTAATAAATATGAAGGTCAAGAGAATGAACTTGGTGATATGTTATCGAGACACAACAACGAAGTGGAACACTTGCGCAAAAAATTGCAAAAATATAAACATGATAATTTAGACAAGGACAGGAGATTGCGGGACCAAAACGACGAAGTTTTAAAAACACAAAGTGCTTTAAAACGCATGAAAGCGATTGTTAAGGATAAAAATTTGCTTGAGAGAGACGAACTGAGTCGAAAGCTTGGTGATACTCAGGACGAACTTGAAGAAAAGAAAACACGTGTTCAGGTAAGAGTGAATTTATTTTAATTTTATATTAATAGGACTAAAGCAGCCAAGCTCTGTTAGATGAACTCAAAGACGTTATTTTGGAGTGCCAAGTGTCATTATTCTAATTCCCAACTGTATTCGGAATAATTTCCATACATTTGCATATATGTATATACCGGTACATACATGTATATTTGCTCTATTAGAATCACATCTTCAACATAAACCAGAAATTTCAATTATTGTATGCTAATTCATTAAAATATTTTGGCCTTAGACAAATAAAGCTTCAATATGGGGTTTTACAGGTCGAAGCAAAAGTGTTAAATTGTGATAATCTAATCTGCTCTGCTCTGCTCTGTCAAAATGAAAGTTGTCAGTGAATTAGTGAGCAACTTGCTGCCCCAAAATATTTGAGACTTGCTAAATAATAGAGTAAATAAATATATTATTAGCATCCATAATAAATAATGTGTCTGGTAACTTAAAATTTTAAATATTAAATTGCCCGAAGACTTAAAATTCAAAATACAAGTTGCCTGTTAGATGATGTTTGCGCATACCGTTTTTCAATTTCTCCAACAACTCTGCTAAATTCTGCATGACATGTGATAATGCACCAGTAAGATTTCCCATTCTCACTTGGCATAAGATATACATGTAAATAAAATATCATGTAAAGTACAACTATGAATTACATAAAGTATTTAATAAAGCTGTAGTAGGAATTGTATTTCATGTTGCATTTCTATGCATACATGTATGTCATGGTGACACTGTCTGTGCCCGAAACAAGTTGCCCAGTGTCACTCTGTCTGTGCCCAAGACAAGTATAAGGCAAAAAAAAAAAATTATGGGCCATTTTTTCTCCGCAAATTGATGCACATATGCATTTTATTTCAAAATTTAGATTATTTTTATTTTTCATGAAAATTGGATTTTTTGTAATTTCTGACAAAAAATCTAAAAAAATTTGATATTTAACTAACTCATAATGGCCCAAACATGAATACTTTATTTCTAAGACTAGAAGACACCTGGTGAACCAAAAACAAACCCTTTACCTAATATTTTTTTAATGATCAGCCAGGAGAGTAGAGAAATAACAATCATTTGTGTGTATATATATACATACTGTAGCATGTAGCTCAAAGTCACCTGATTAGGCCAAGACATACATTTTTACTTAACATGTTGTTGCTATGGATTATTACACTCTGCATATTATGAATTTTTTATTATAATGAGATGAGATGAAAATGGTCTGGAGTTAATTTTAAGAGTCACTATGAATTGTATTTTTAGTCATTATCAGTAAAGCTAGATTACGCCAATTTTTAATAGAAATGCCCTTTTTTGTCCATTATAAATTATATATGTATAGTGTTATTTATATATATAAAATTTTATTATATTTATATAATAAAATCAATTTTACATGGCTTCAATTATTTCAACATTACATGTAGATTAGGACATTTTGTCCAAAATTGAAACTGGAGTCATGGGACATTTTAATATAATTATTTGTCTTATTTTGGGTGTAAAACTATAAATTTAATAGAAAACTTTCTAGGCTCATTGTCAGAAATGATTCAATAAAATTAGGACATTTTGAAAAAAATATCTGCATCTGAATCACAGTCTAAAAGGATTTACAGTTTGTCAATATGGTCTTAAGCTTTTCAGATAAGAATTGC